GGAGCGCCGCTGCGCTTCCCAAGCGGCGCACTATCCAGTGCGCCACCGGGCCGGCCCTAGCTTTACTATTTCCAAAGCACTTTCCCACACATTGTCTGATTTAGTCTTAATGATGATCCTGAGAGGTAGGATTATTTCTTTTACTTTGCGGATGAGAGAAGTGCGTTTCTAGGAGGACAATCCTGTTTGTCAGAGGCAGAGCCAGGCCTGAAATCCAGCGGCCTCCAATTCATTGCCCTCCCTGCCACAGCACCATGCCCCACCCCAGGCTGGCGGTAGGGTGATGAGGAGAAAGGCCCCTGGGAGCAGAGGAGACTCCTCCCGTTGCACCACCCCACCCTCCCCAAACGCTTACCCGCTCCCCGGGGAAGGCGATGTCTGGGTTGGAGACAGCCGCGATCTTCGCTAGGGCATGGGCTGCCTTCACCTTGCCCACGTCTGTGCCCTCCAAAGCCAGGGGAATCAGGGCCTGCAAGAAAGGGCACAGTCACTACTTGCCTACAGACATCCAGAGGCCTCTCTCCCATCCTCCTGCTCCAGCTGCTGTCTGTCTGTCTGTCCCATCAGAGGCTCAGGAAGACTCTGATATATCAGCCTTTGAGCATCATAGAAAACAATTAAATACTTAATCATGGACTCACCCCCCCTGGTTCCCAGCACCCACTGAGGTCTTCACCCCCCCCACACTCACCTATATGTTCCTTCAGCTTTTGGAAAAATAAATAAATCAGTCCATAAACTGATTTTTTAGTTTCTGCCCAAGCCAAATCTAATCATAACAATAGCTAATTTCTGAACACCTACTGTGATCCAGTATCTTAAGTGTATTTGCTTAATCCTTGTGGCATTCTGTAAAGTATGTGATTTTCCCTCCTGTTTCACAGATGAAGGGACTGTGGCTCAGGGAGATTAACTGCCCAAGCTTACACAGCTGAAAAGTGGAAGAGCACAAATCAACTACAAGTCTTCTGCATTGAAGTCCATGGTCTCTATTTTTGCACCGGGCTTCCTTACAATAGCTAAGAGGACAGAGGGGATTCTAAAGCAAATCCTACAGCACATCATAAAATCAAGCAGAAATGGATTTGGGGCTCTGAGCACAGACAGCACAGATAACTGAGTGACCATATTTCAGGAGGTTGGTTTGGAGCAGGGAGTACACTATTCTTGGGCCAGCAAGGAGGATGCACACATCCACGTGCACACATACAGTGCTCCTCCCCAGCATAGCACATTCTAGGTCCTTATCTTGCCCAATTACCTTGCCACCACCTTGAGCCACAATGGT